ATTTGATCTTTTCCATCGATCTGAATTATTTTTCAGGTCACAAAAATGTCGCTGAGGTTCTCCTCAACAAAGGCGCCAGTATGGATATCATGAATAATTTCAATAATACTCCTCTTCATTATGCTGCTGAGAATGGTAATGTTGAATACTTGTTTTCATTAAATAAAAGATTGATTTGATCTTTTCCATCGATCTGAATTATTTTTCAGGTCACAAAAATGTCGCCGAGGTTCTCCTCAACAAAGGCGCCAGTATGGATATCATGAATTATGATAATAATACACCTCTTCATTATGCTGCTGAGAATGGTAATGTTGAATACTTGTTTTTATTAAATAAAAGATTGATTTGATCTCTTCCATCGATCTGAATTATTTTTCAGGTCACAAAAATGTCGCCGAGGTTCTCCTCAACAAAGGCGCCAGTATGGATATCATGAATAATTTTGATGAGACACCTCTTCATTTAGCTGCTGAGAATGGTAATGTTGAATACTTGCTTTCATTAAATAAAAGATTGATTTGATCTTTTTCATCGATCTAAATTATTTCTAAGGTCACATGAATGTTGCTGAACTTCTCATCAATAAAGGAGCCAAAGTTGATAAATTACATGGGGATTAAAAATTTTGACACATAGACACTAGCGCTGCAGTTTGCTTGTCAGTTGGTCAGCTGCACAACTAACAATCATGCTGGTGGAGCGGCCACACAGAAACTGGATCGGTCATATATTTCTGATTCATTTTTTTCTCTTTTTCTAAATAAATATGATTATAACATAATAAATACTTTGATTCAAGTGTCACTATTATTTTCATCACCTTTGTTTGGCACAATAGGAATATAATAAAAACATAGTTTCATAACACATAACATACGCGTTCTTGGAGCGGCCATCGAAATTGATTACAATAGTAACCAATATTGGTTACATTAATGACCAATACTACAATGCAATAATTTTAACACCCAATCACATTTTTATTTGATGTTTTTTCAAAGATGAAGTGAAAAAGGCCAAATAATACGTTCGTATTAAAAACATCAAAGAGATAAATCAAATATTGATTCCTCAGTAACAATTACCTGTGGCAAATCCAGTTGGAGCGGCAACACTCTGAAGTTGGAGCGGCTAGTATTATATATCAAAACAAAAAATTCAACTAATGAAAATGTATAAAAAAGTAATATTCTTACTTTCATTGATTAAATTAATTTCAGACAATTCAAATTCGTTTATTATAGTTTTTCTTTTGAAAAACAATATTAGTCGCTCCATGGTGAATTCGGAGTGTTGCCGCTCCATGGTGAATTTGTAGAGTTGCCGCTCCAACTGGATCGGCCGCTATTAATTATTGCTGAAGATTCAATGTTTGATTTATCTCTTTGATTTTTATTAATACGAAAGTGTTATTTAGCCTTTTTAAACTTCATGTTTGCAAAACCGTAGAATAAAAATGTAATTGGGTGTTGAAATTATTACACTGTAATATTGGTTACGCGGGGGTATCATTAGACTAACAACAACATCATTTGCAAAATTAAATTCGTCCAAAACCTGCTGACACGGAGTGAACGAGCTCACTTTACAAACGCACTTGTTCATCTTGCTGGTTTGACAGCTAATGTCAAATCGACTTCTGTTTCAGTATAGTTTTCTGCTAAGTTTTCTGTTCGAACGCAAACGTTTTCTCAGTATGGTCCGCAAAATTAAAAAAAAACAATTCTGTCACGAACCAGTTTCTATTTTGAATCTAACATTTTGTGTTTTTTTTTAATTATGGAAACTGCAATATATCATATAAAACCGTAATTTTCTCTCATACAACTCAATTGAAAATGGAAGAAAAACAATTTTTTTAAATACGGGTTTGATCTACCGAAAGAAAGCAATTTTTTGTCTTGTGTGCCAGCGGAATATTTGCACAATTTCATTTGGCAGAATCGAAAGAATTTTATTTATTTAAAATTCAAATAATAATTATTATTTCACCACACGACACAATGACGACTATGTTTGACACTGCATTGAATACACTCATCAATGTAGTTCCCGTCAAAATGTGTGGCGTTGTTGGTTTGACGTTTAATGATCGAGACTATCGCGGTGATTGGTTATTGATGTAATCAATGTTGGCTACTATTGTAATCAATTTCGATGGCAGCTCCAAGAACGCGCATGTTATGTCTCATGAAACTATATTTTTATGATTTTATAATTGTGCCAAACAAAGATAATGAAAATAAGATACACTTGAAAAATATTTAACTTGTTATAATAATATTATTTTAGAAAAAAATGAATGAGAAATGTATGACCGCTCCAGTCGCTCCAAGCAAATATAAAAATGGCGTCTCCATATGACATGACATTTCTATCTTTGTGCAGCTCAACTGTCAATCTTCCATTCCCCTGCTAAATTAGACCCCGAAAAGTACATGTCATTTTTGGTATAAAAAATCAAAATCGATAACCATTTGGACGAGATATGGCCATATTATTACTTTTGGCAGAAAAATTCAAACGGCCAAATCTTGGTCAAATGCCGGCCGATTATGATGTTTTATACCAAAAACGACATGTACTTTTCAAGACCTTTTCAGCGGTATACGTAACTTTTTGATCCGACCAGCCATTCAAAACCTCAATTTTTGGCGTCAAAGTCGGTCATATTGGAATATGCATGTGTATGTTCTTACCTACATTTTTGTGAAGAGATCAAGATTTTCATCTTTACTTTATTGAAAAAATTCCAAAAATCATTTGGTTCTCTATCATTTTTCAATTTTCCATGACTTTTATCACAATTCAAAATACTATTTATACTTTTTTTATCAATAAACACCGAAATACTCGCTTTTTAAAGAAAAAAATGAAGGAAAAACTGACATTCATATTTAAAAAGCATTGTGGGCACCCAGTGCCCAGATGTACGAATAATGTCGCAAAAAATAATGTACGGGTTGAAGGTTAAGGGAATTGAAATGGAAAGATTTTTTCAATCTACGATTAAATTTTAAATAAAATACCTTAAAATGACTTTGCTTTTTCAAATTTCAAACATAAATCAATATGAATATTTATTTATAAACGAAATTTTGGTTCGGATGCATTTCGACATTTGTCATCCACAGCGAGTATCAAATTACACTGAACTCAGGTCTCTGTTTGCGATCGTGAGTAAGAGAAAAAAGAAGAAAAGTAGGATACACGAAAAGCAAAACATGTAACAATGTGTTGTGGAGACGAGTCCAAAATATCTGATTTGTGATGCATCTTTTGCCATTGCAAACGCATATAAAGAAGTTTATGGTGACCAGGTTGTCGTTGTAATGTGTTGGGCTCACATGCGCCAAGCGTTTGCAAAGAAAATAAAAACATTCGTCAAAGATAAAAAGAAGCAAAATGAATTATTGTACGATTTGGATAGGCTACAGCTCAGTAGATCTGATGATGCGTTCGACCAAGCAGCTGATTTATTCGTCGCCAAGTGGGAATCAGTAAGCCAAGATTTGACGGAATATTTTACAAACGAATGGCTCGTGAAACATCGATTTTGGTACGAGGGCGTGGCACAAAATGTTCCAAGTTCAAACAGGAAGCAACGCACAAAGCAATCAAAGACAACCATTCCATAAGACAGCGGTTCGACTTAGATAAATTCCGCGTGGTTTTGTTTCAAGTGGTCAAACAATATTCATTCGAGTATGTCTACGGCATTAGAGAAATGCATCCCAAGCCATTGATCGATCTGCCAGTTTGGACGGAAGCTTATAATTGGGCTCGAACTAACACACCAATCTACGTGAACGCATTGAACATGAAATTCCACTCGAATCAAATTTAAACGTTGATATTGATGACGCTTTGATATATGAATCATTTGATAATTTTAAGAAATATTACTTTGCAAAATGCACCACTACTTTTCCAACTCCGTTTAATAGATCGACTTGGGAAAAAGTTTATTGTAATTGCGCAGACTTTTTTAAATTTTTCCTGTGTAAACACGTTGTGGGAATCGGGCTTCGAATGAAATTTGCGGAGGCTCCACCTGAAGCTAAAAATATACCTATAGGCCAAAAACGAAAAAAGGCCAGCCAGCTTTGGCAAGAGCGGCTCTTGTCGTTCAATAATTGTGATTTATCGTTTAATAACTTGGCAAAATAAATAAATTTTACTGGATAAATATGAAATCAACTTGAATTATTTTTAAATTAACTTATCATTTTCTAAAGGTTACTTTAACTTGAATTTTTTGAAAAATTACTTGTCATTTTAATGACAGCCAATTGCAATTAGCTTCAAATTGCGGTATTCATCATCACAATAGCTCCAACCCGTACTGAGAATGGCACAAAAATCAGTTGACAAAAAGCACTCATCAAAATTACTCATATAAAATTTTGAAGTCATTTTCAGTGGTGTGTGACTTCGAAACAAGATCAAATATCACGAATCGGTCAGGCGGGATCGAAAGCAATTGCGATTAGCTTCAAATTGCGGCACGGTCTATTTGTACGATAAAAATCGTACAAAATTCACAGGCTTAACTCAGACACACTCACTAGCCCGGTAAGAGTGAGTCTTGATTTTTTTTTTTTTTTTTTATTTCGTGTAATTGATATTAATAAATGCTTAAATACAAATAACTTACGAAGATGGAAAAAGAATCTAGTCATTTCTAAGTCCCGGTATGAATAAAGATGAAAATAAACATTTGTTTACATTCAATTAATCAGAATGCAGTATTAATACGCTTTTCTAGAATTTTTCTATACAATATCCATAACAAACTAGAGATAACTGATTGAAATTTATAAAACGTTCTTGGCACATACAAAATTCTTTTATATCTGCTTATTTTTCTCCAACGTGCTTAAAACCGATTCATGGAAATTGTTTTTAAACTTGGTGTTGAATTCAGCAAAGAATGGAATCGTTTGATCGACACGATTCAACCAGGCCAAAATTTTGGAGTGTTTATCTTCTTTAAGTGGTGCATAGGTCACTAGATAAGATAAAGTCAATGCTACGCAAATATCTGCAATAGTAAAGTTGTTGCCAACCAAGAATGGATCCTCTGCTAAAAATGCTTCAAGAATCTCATAAGCGGAGTACATTGGGTCAGTCTTGTCTTTCGTAATTTCTGTACCACCGTGAAAGAATACATGATAGCCACAGGCAAACAATCTTGGGAATAAACTGGCTGCATCAAAGAACAGCCGTTGATTGCAACGAGCCCGTAGTTGTAAATCTTTGGGATACAGCGCGTCGTCTTCGCCGTATTTATCAATCAAATATGTACAAATTGCATGGCTATCCCAAATCACGAAACCATTATCAATCAGCGTTGGAACGGTGTGTTCCGGATTCAACTAACATATAAACAGATCATGGAAAATTATCCATATAAAAATTTATGCGATTTTTTTTTCATATTTATAGCTCTCGATGGTACCAGTTTTTACCTTAAGGAAAGATTCCGCCAAATGTTCATGTTCAAGCAAGTTGACATCACTGCAAAGCGAGAGATAAAGACATTTTGAGTACAAATATTCCAATTTTATTTAAATAATTCAAATACCGCAACTCAAGCTCTAGACCAAGTATTTTTGCAACAATTTTTACCGCACGAACTGGTGAACTAGGATCGAAATTGTACAAAATCATCTTTTTACTCATTTTCCAAGTCAGATGAAAATCGTGTTTTCGAAACAGATGCACAAAACAAACTGATCAACACAACTCAATCATCATGCGATGAATAGAACATTTTTTTTTAATTACGATTCAAAGTTGGTTTCATTTTGATCATGAAATTAATTCAATCATTTCAATGAGTTGTGCGTGCTTAGTTTTCCTTTATTATCACAAAAGAGTAGATTTGATAGGTGCATCTATTGAACGTATTCAATTTACAGAACGATTCTCATAATGTTCATGTAAATGAGAACAAAAATAATAAAATTCCAAACTTCAAATTAAAATACAATACTTCGATAAATCAGCAGCAAGCTGAGTGCATTAAAAGCGAAAATAAAAGAAATTATTTGATTGATTTTCAACAGTGTTCAACTAAGACTGTTGCTTGTTTTTCTCCAAAGTTGAATGGATCAGCTGACGTACTTCTTCTACATATTTTAGATTTACTTCATCAAAGAATGGAATCGTTTGGCTAACACGTTTCAACCAGGCTATGATTTTTGGATGCTTTTCATTCTGAAGAGGCGCATAAATTCCAAGTGGTAGCAAAGTCACTGACACACTTATATCAGCGATCGTTAGGATTTTGCCGACCAAAAATGGATCGGATGCCAGAAATGCTTCCAAAATATCGTAGGCCATGTAAATTGGATCGATTCGGTCTTGAGGTACTTCTTTTCCGGCTTTGAAAAATATTGGATAAGAACAGTCACGCAATCGTACGAACAAACTGGCCGCATCGAAGAAGAGTCGTTGATTGCATCGCGCACGCAACTGCAAATCTTTTGGGTACAATGCATCGTTTTTGCCATATTTATCTACTAAATACGTACAGATTGCATGACTATCCCAAATGACAAAACCATCATCAATCAGTGTTGGAATCACACGCTCCGGATTGATCTGGCGGATAAATGTTCACGAATATGAATCTAAAATTGAAGAAGAATATGCTAAAATTCAATACCTTTGCATATGCCGCCTTCAAATGTTCACCTTCCAGCAAGTTAATGTTACTGCAATCGCCAAATGTTTTAAATTTTTTTAATTCAAAGAGATCGTGGAATTCAATAAATATGTTTTTAAAACAATAACTTTTTTTAATAAATTCGAAATTAAATCAATTTCATTTCGAATATTTACCGAAGCTCAAGATCCAAACCGAGCAATTTGGCTACAATTTTCACTGTACGCACCGGCGGGCTGAGGTCCAGGTTATACAAAATCAATTTTTTGCTCATATTTCAAGAAATAACGAAAGACAAGTGACGAAGTGATGCCTTTAGATAAACTGTTCGTGCTGGTCATCGTGGAACGGCTTTTATTTCATTTTTGTCGTTTATCGAATCATGGATTCAAGCATTGTATTGCTAATCATATATTCCAATTGTGTGTTTGTAATGCCATTTTTATTGTATGTGCAATGCTTTACGTAAGTGGTGTTGCATTACAAATGCAAATTGTCGTTTATTTATTAAAAAAAGTGCAATTCATATGACCGACCGCAATGATACGGCATATCAATTGCAACAGCTGTCTTTGCAATCATCATGCTTATTTCGAACAAATGAAAATAGAAACATTTTTCCTGGTTATTTATTTTAACAATAAAAAAAAACTACACAAAAAAGTTCCGTTCGATGAACGTGATTGAAGTAAGATGACTATTTTCTATATAGAAGAATGCTACTGACGTCATTCAACGGAAAAAAATAAATGAAAAAATATCAAATGTAATTCTTCGAAGAAATGTGTGTGGAAATCAATTGTTCGAATTTTCACAAGTATTGGAGTAATTTCGCTTCGTTTATCATCGCTTTAAGCCCATCGATCACTTCGAGTGAGTTAGGTATGATTTGATCTGCAGGTAGAATGAATCCAAAATGACCTATGAAATTGAAATGGATAGAATGAAGTAGATCAATGGAAAGAACAACGCAAATCAATCCGTTCAAATAGACTTCAAATGGATGAAATATGTACCATTGTCACGAAACTCAAAAGTATATGTTAAAGAAACGTTGTGCGCTGCATACACCCAATCAATGCTGTTGCCTGATGCAAGATCTAATAAAAGTGAAGAATGAAATCTGGTCAAATTTCATTGATTGTATGAGTTTTCAAGAAAAAATGAAAAGTTCAGCACAAATATTCGATCATACAAATTGTCTCTGCAATATTTCCAGTAGTGTAGTCGGTTCCATATCGCCTCTTGATCGCTTGTGTCGTTTTCTGCCCGATTTGATACTATGGAATAAAAGAAATGAAGTTTGGATTTGTATTACGAATGATTTGTAACAAAAGCGTGTACAAAAATGTGTGCCACAAATTACCAGATCATCATGATTGGTCGCGTGCACCGCCGTTGAGTGACCCTAAGAAGGTTTTCATGAAAATTAATATTTTCTATTGAAAGATTTTTCGATTTGAATTACATATGGGAAAAGCAAAAGCTGACTATACGAATGGAATGAAAGGTACAGCTTGATGTTATCAAAAGTTTTGATGAATTTGGACAAGGCAAGTGTTTCTGGTTCTGAGAATGACGATGGGCCAGCATAGGTTTCGTCACAAGAGTCGGTTGATGAGCCTTCCTCTGGAAATTCAATTTTGAAGCTCTCAAATTACGGCACCATTTTCAATCGAGTCAAACGTTGATTTGAGTTTACCTGTATGATGGAAGTCAAAGTTTCGATTTAAATCGGCTCCCACACAGTTCCACATGTCAGAGTATGGATTGCGATTTTTCCTCCACAATCGATTCTGCATTTTAAACAGAAGTTTATTAGTGTTAATGGTTAAATGGTTGAATTTCAGACAAATTATTGTTAACTTAATTCTTCCTCTAATCAAATTTGAGCGACACTTTAGTTGCTAAGCTCTTACCGTCGTATGGGCGAATTCATACCCATCCACATTAACGATCGGCACAAAAACCCAATCAAAATTTTTGGCCAGTGCTTTGATTTCAGCATCACGCGAGGTGAGTAATTCATTTAAAATGTACGTGGCTGTGGCAACTGTGATCCACTCGCGAGCATGAATTGTACTCTCAATGAAAATCGTTGGATTTCCCTATGAAGTAATGAACGTTAAAAAAAATTGTTGGCTCATTTTCAATCCAATTTTTTTTTTTACTTACTGCTTTATGCGACAGTTTAACAGCGCGTAATGGGCGATTTTCATATGATCTGCCATACGTATAATCCGTGAGAATTTTACGATGTCGTCTAATTAGTTCGTCAAGCCATTTGTAAATCGCTGCTGTGTCATGATATTGTTTCCAATCAAAACTTGAGCACAACACCTCAGGCTGTTCGGCATCAATTAACCTGTCGGAAAATTAATTATTTTATGACATTCCAACCAAATTTTCGTCGTTTCCATGTTTACGTTTGTAAATTTTCAATTTTGATTTCATTCTTTATTTCGTATGCGTTAAATAGAGCACTTATGTTCGTGAATTTGTGTGGCGATACAACGATGTCAATGGGTTTTCCCAAACTGATCGGAGTTTCCATGAACAAAATGCCATCATGAGAATTTTTGAGATCTTGTAATACTTTCAGTTGTTTTGCACTTTCAACGTTGATTGAATAAACATGATAATTGTCATAGCGAACTTTTTCACCGGAAATCAGAATGAAATTACCCAGAAGTACGGTCAAATACAACAATCTCATTATATTCGTTTATCGATTTGATTTTTCGAAGAATTGAAAAAAATCGTTCTAATCTAATTTTTAATAAGAACTTCTATTATACTGGATTTTGATTAGGAAACTCATTAATTTTTCACCGGTTGAATCGATTGCAAGATGAGTTTCATGATTGAATAGTTTTAATAAGAGCCAATCGACACTCTTTATACTCTTCGAATTCTGAGAGATAAACAAATGTCCACTTGACATAATTGCAAGTGATCATGAAGGCTACGATTGTTATTCACTAAACACACTTCAGATAATAGCCTTCTTACAAAACTGATAACGCAGTGCAACGACATCTCGTAGTCCATGCACTATCAGAATATAAGAGTTCTCGAAAAATGAAAAAAAAACCAAAAAGAAGAAAAAGTTTCAGAACAAAAGTAAAAACGAATTGAAAAAGAAAAGAAACTACTTCAGAATGAGCAAAAATGAATCTCGTTCTTTTTTTCACATTGAAGCATTACCCAATAATTTATTTAATGATTGAGTGGACCGCTGGCACTTGAACTTAAGTTCGTGAAACGAAAACAAAACCGTTCGCAATGTACTTAGCAAAAAGTTGCGTCAATGTGTAAAATGATTGTTTATTCAAAAGAAAACACAACAACAAGACCAAGAAAATCTGTTCACCTACAGTTCGAATATGTTCAGCTGGCGCCGCATTTCTCGCACGGTGTTGTAAGATTTGTGTGTATGAAAATGTCCGGTGGTCGACTTTTGGAACATACTTCTAAATCTAAAACAAAACAAAATCTGTTTCCCATACCGCGGCTCGTAAGGATCCACGTGATATTTGATTTCGGTCGAACAGCTGCGCAGATTCCGCCAAAGCAAAAACAATACGAACGCAAAGTCCTTGATATTTCATTTCGTTGGCTGACCAGGAATTTTGATTCAATGAATTCAACGTTGTCAGCAACGCTAAAATAGTCACGTTACTTGGTCTGGATAAATTCGACTGCGCTTTCGATCAAACATTCCTAATTTGAAATGTAAATGGTGCGCGGAATTGTGCATGGCAATTAATAAATCAAATTCAATTTCGTTATTTGTGAATAAATTTTGAGCAAAGAAAAATGTGTGTAATTTGCTCGTTAGCTGTAGATTTGCGATGTGTATCAATCGATTTAGAAATAAAAAAAAACCACCAACGTTCCCACAAAAACCCAGCAATCGTGCCGCTGAACGAAAAAAAAAGAAAAAAACAATATAATTGCAGTTGATGTGAGAAGTGATTGCACTTTTCTCATCTATCTTTGGATGCATATGCTCCGTCACAGCCGAGGAATGTAAGCGCGGGAATACGTAGAAAAAATCGACACCAGATTCTGCCAGAAATTCATATTTTTTGCGAGTGATTTGTTTAGTCTCTTTCCTTTAAATTGACCAAATGAATGTGCGATAATTACGTCTGATGTTCAAACGATTGTGACAGCAACGCACATGATGCTCATCATCATCAGCTGGTCTATTCATCGTTTTTTTCCCTTTCTGCGTTCTTTTCGCCTCTTCTCCTCGCTCTACACATTCCGTACGTTATGCGCACGAGCAAAGGCTTTCCTCACAAAATCTTTTTTCTCTTGCTTGTATTTCACACAAGCGACAGTAATTAATCAAGTTTAGCACGATCTTAAGTCACCGAAACGAGATATTCAAAATATTACATGAACGAAAATGAACGATGAACAAAATTAGACGATGAAAAATGTGCGAAACATGCTGTGACTTTGTCCGGATTCCATTTCCAATTAGAATCGGTACTGTTGTCTTTTGGAAACATTTTTTCTGAAAATTCTGATTTAAATTAATGTCGGCATTTGATTAAAGTTTCACCGTGCGAAGGAGACAATTCGATGTTATCGCTTGATCTTGAGACGTAGACAATCCAAATCATACTGAAATAAATCCACTGAATAAAACGTTGGGTTTTAGTTAAATGTTCA